CTCCGTGCCCAGCGGCTGACCTGGAGCACGTAGTCCAGGGCCAGGTGGCGGAAGCACTTGCGGGTGAGGGTCAGGGCACCGGTGGCCTCCTCCACCTCGTGGGGCCGGTGCCTGGGGGCCTGGGCGTTCCTCACCAGGGACAGCTCCAGGTCCTCCCTCACTTTGTCAAACTGCTTCTTGGTCTCCTTGAACTTCCGCACGTCCCTGGCGGGGGGTTCAGGTCGAGGGCTCCCAGGAGGGGCGGACATGGGGTCTCCCCCTTCCTGAAATGCCCCCCCCGTGCTCCCAGCCCCACTCCGTCCTCCTTGCCTCCCTGCCTGCCCCGCCCTGCAGCCATCGAACTGGGTGTCCCCCTCATCCCCCGCCCTGCAGCCATCGAACTGGGTGTCCCCCTCATCCCCCGCCCTGCCTCCCTCTTCTCCTCCCTCCTCTCCTCCTCGAGGCCGCCTTCCCTGACCCAGGGCCCACCCTTGCCCTTCACCACCTCAGTCCTAAAGTCAGTGCAACCTGGGGTGAGCCCAGCTTCAACCAGACTCCAGACTCAGGCCCCCAACTTCCATGTGACATCACTTGGGGGTCCCATAGGCACCCCAACTGCACACACAGGTGCTGAACCCAGACCCCCACCAACCCTCACCTCCTCCCACCACCACCCTGACTCCTCCCACAGTCATGCCCTCACCTCTTGCCCGAGGCCCTCACCTTACCCTCCAGCCCTGTCCCCCTCCAAGCCTTTGCCCACCCTGAGCCCCCACCCAGAGCCTGAGGCCTGGGGCCAAGGCCCCTCCCAGACAGACCCCGGGACCCCCCAGATCCAGCACAGAAATCACCATGGGCCCCTCCCGGGCTGGGAGAGGTAGACCCCCCCCCCTTGGGGTCCAGGGGCCTCGAGCCACTCACTCTTTGATGAAGTTGTGGAGCTGTTGCCGCACGGACCTCTGGGCCTGGTCAAACAGGATCTGGGGGGTCACGGGACGGTGGGTGTTAGTGGTCTGTCCCCACATGACCCCAGGGGCCAGGCCCCCATCCCTCTCAGGTGAGAACCAGGGAAAGTCCCGCCCAGCCCAGCCTGGGCCCCAGCCCCTCGTCCCCACGGAGCCGGCCTCACAGGGTCAGGGGAGCGGGGGCGGCCCCAGGCCTGGGTCGGCGCCCAGAGGCGACAGCTGTGACCACCTGCCCACGTCCCCTCCTGGCTCTCGGCCAGACCAGAGGCCAGAGCTGTCCCAGATGGGCCCCTCCTCTGACACCCCCAACTCCGACCCTGAGACCCCACCTCGGGGAGGACCAGCCCTGAGGTAGGAAGGATGGGGTCGGAGGGCGGGTGGTGTGGGGAGCTGGAGGGCTCTCGAGCACTTAGAGCAGTGATGGCGAACCTGTGACACGTGTCAGAGGTCACACGCGAACTCATTTTTTTGGTTGATTTTTCTTTGTTAAATGGCATTTAAATATATAAAATACATATAAAAAACAGAAGTCTTTGTTTTACTGTGGCTGCAAAGATCAAAGAATTTCTACATGTGACACGGCCCCAGAGCGAAGTTAGGGCTTTCAAAAGGTTCGCCGTCACTGACTTAGGGGATCCAGAATCAGGCCTGTCCACGCGGGGGCCTATCCGCAAGCAGACAGACAGACAGACAGACAGGGCAGGACGTGCTGTTCTGAGCTGGTTTATTTCTGAACTTCCCCTGGGGGGTGGGGCCCCTTGTTTAGGCTGGGGCTCCGGTTGCCAGGCCACTGTCCAGCCACCCACGTGTGCCTCCGGCCTGTTCCGTGCGGCCGCGCTGGTGGCCCCGAGGGCTGGAGGTCATCCAGACCCGACCGGGAGCCGTGAGCCCAGAGTCACCAGGGGCCGGGGGGTCAGCCTGGGAGGTGCTTTCGCTGCACGCACGGCTGGAGAGCTGCCTGGTGGGGGCCCTGGGTGACCCTCCACAGCGTCTCCCACCTTGAGAGCCCGTTGCCCACAGACCTGGGCTGCGTTGCCACCTCCCCTGCCCCGCCCCCATCTGACCCTCACCTGGGACACATGAGAGCCTCGTGGCGTTTCCCACCCACAGACGGAGGAGCGCGGCGAGGGCTCTCCCAGAGCTGGCCCCGCCGGCAGCCTAGCCCCTCGGACAGGCCCTGGCACGGGCCCTCATGCGCGTCACACCCCCCCCACCCCCCCGCAGGCTCACCATGTGGTAGTTGACCATCTCCTGCAGGCTGTCTCCAAACCTCTGCAGACACTCCTGGGGGGCAGGAGAGACCCTCACTCAGATGGCACAGCCATGCCGCCCGCACAGATGCCCACGTGCTCCCAGGTCCTGGGGCCCCTCCAGGGGCTGCCTGCCCCTCACAGAGGTCAGAGGTCAGGGGCCTCACCGAGATGACGGTGTCTCCCCGGCATTGCTGAGACAGGTCGCGCACCCCACTCACGAAGAGCCTGTTGGTGGTGACGTAGGCCTTGCCGGCCTCGATCATGCCGCTGCACAGCTTGACCAGCTGCGGACGGGACGGGGGCGTGACACTCGGGCACCGGCCTTCGCCGGCTGGGGCAGCGGAATGCAGCTCAGGGCCCGGCAGTGCCCAGAACACAGCTGCCCAAGGCTGGGGGGACCCCCGCTGCCCGCACTCCATCCTGAGCCCCCTGGGCGTGGGTCAGCCTAGTGCCCCCTGGGCCTGGGCTCCAGAGCGGGCGGTCGGAGCAGAGAACCCAGGGCGGGTGGGCACGTGGGCCTGGCCAAGGGTCAGCGGGAGCAGCCACCGAGGGGGCTCAGGAGTGTGCCCCTCCCTGCCCCCCTAGTCCCCCGGGGCCCCCAACCTGGTCACTTAGAGCCACAGCCTCCCAGCGGCTGTCTCTGGCCCTGAAGACTCACTAGAGCCGCGGTTCTCAACCTTCCTGAAGCCGCGACCCTTTCACACAGCTCCTCATGCTGTGGGGACCCCCAATTTCATTGTTACCGATTGAACATAATGAAAGCATAGTGATTCATCACAGAAACAATATGTAATTATGTATGTGTTTTCCGATGGTCTTAGGCGACCCCTGTGAAAGGGCCGTTTGACCCTCAAAGGGGTCGTGACCCACAGGTTGAGAACCGCTGGTCTAGAGGGACCGCACCAGGGCCCACCCCACCTGACGGGAGACCCAGAGGCGCACACATGTGTGTGCAGTGTGTGCACCGGGGACGGGCATCGCAGGTACAGCTGTGGTGAGGGGACACAGCCACGTCCTGTGCACGCACACGGGCCTCACGCCCCACACGCACACGTGCACACACACCAGTGGCCGGGCCCGGGGCAGGGGCGGCACTGGAGCCCCCACACCCCCGCCCCTCACCTTGTCCAGTTTGGCCTCGATCTCGACCACATCTGTCTCCACCTCGTCGATAGTCGCCCTGCAACGGGAAGAGGTCGGCCAGGGGTCAGCCTGCAGCCAGCTGCCCTGACCCCGTGTCAGGCAGGCTGGACCTTCACCTCCCCATGCCCCTCCCCACGGGGCTGCTGGCCAGGGCTGCTTGCTGCTGTCGGCGGCCCCACGGCCCTCAGACAGGCCAGGAAACGGAAGCTGGGAGAGGCCACCGCCTGGCAGGAGGAGGCAGGACAGGGACCCAGAACCCGCTGACTCCAGGGCTGCCCAGACCCACACAACCCCAGGCAGAAAGAGGCCCTGTCCCATGTGACCCCCCCTCTGGGGTCGGGCTGCTGCGGCCCCGGGTAGAGAGGTCAGACGCGTCTGAGGACATAAGAGGGGCCGGAACCCCAGTGCAGGTGCACACGCAGGGCGGGGCCAGGGCAGCCCGCCACCCCTGCCCAGCCCAGACTCCAACTGGCTCCCCCAGCCTGGTGGCCCCTGCAGCTCACTGGTCTCAGCCAGAACCTCTCCCTGGCTCCCTCAGACGCCCCCAACCTCCAAACAAGAAAGAATGGCACCATCTGCCAGGAGAGG